TTGAGCTTTTCTTCCTTGCAGAGATATTTATATTTTAACACAGAACCCTGCAGGAGAGCAGAAGCAACTGTCGGGGCCCCTGCTCCCAGCCCTCCCAGCTCGTCTGCCGTGAAGACGTGCCTGATGTTTTCAGAGGCAGGAAGCAAGTAAATGAAGGCTTGGCACCTTGGAGTGTTAGCCTGGGAAGAGCCCTCGGTCACTGCAGCCCTTCATTTCACACATGGGGAACAGGCTGGAAGGGCTGCACCCAGCTTAGCCAGAGTCACACAGGACGTGGTAGAGCCAGGTCTCGGACCACGCCCTCAGCCTGCCCTGCAAGATAAATATACATAGATATGCTTTACTTATTTATTTGTTTGAAAGGCAGAGTGGCAGAGAGAGGGAGAGGGAGACAGGGAGAGATCTTCCACCCTCTGGTGTACTCCCCAGATGGCTGCAACGCTGGGACTGGCCCAGCTGGGGCTACTGAAACCAGACACCAGGAGCTCCATCCGGGTCTCCCACGTGGGTGGCAGGGTTCCATGTCCCTGAGCCATCTTCTCCTGCTTTCCCAGGTGCATTAGCAGGGAGCTGGATCAGAAGCAGAGCAGCCGGGACTTGAACCAGCACTCTGATAATGGGATGTATGCATCACAAGCGGCGGCTTGGCCCACTGTGCCATGCTGCTGGCCCCTAAATATGCTATAACACTGCCTTTTCTCTTAAAAAACAAAAAGCTTATTGAGACATAATCCACAACCCACTACATTCACCCATTTAAAGCGTGTAATGCGGTGGCTTGTAGGATACTCACAGAATTGTGTGATGATCGCGATTCTGTTTTCATTAGTCCCCAAAAGAAACCGTGTACCTCGTAGCCGTCACCAGCCCTAGGCCACCTCAGATCTAGTTCCTGCCCCTGTAGGTTTATTCTGGACATTTCGTATCAGTGGACTCATACAATATGTGGTGTTTGTGACCGGCTCCTTCCGCTCAACATAATGTCTCTAGGTTCATCCGTGTTGCAGCACAACCAGCATTTCACTCCTTCCTGTTACCAGCATCTGTGTCAGGGGTGCTCCACACTCCATCTGTCCACCATCGGCTGGCAGGCACTTCAGCTGCTGCACGTACAAGTCTTTGTGTAGGTGTAAGTTCCCGTGTCCCTTAGGCGTATCCACAGGGTGGAATTTCTAGATCCTAACTGCTCTGTGTCTCACTCTTTTTCTTGTTTTGTTTTTTGTTTTAAAGATTTATTTTATATTTATTTGAAAGGCAGAGTGACAGAGAGAGAGGGAGAATCTTCCATCTGCTGCTTCACTCCCCAAGTGACCGCAATGGCTGGGGCTGGGTCAGGCCGAAGCCAGGAGCCAGGAGCTTCTTCTGGGTCTTCCACGTAGGTGTAGGAGCCCAAGGACTTGGCCTTTCCCCTCTGCTTTCCCAGGTGCATTAACAGGGAGCTGGATTGGAAGTGACACAGCTGGGACTTGAACTGGCGCCCATCCCATATGGGGTGCCAGGCCCTGCAGGCTGTGGCTTTAACCCGCTGCACCACAGCGAAACACCCGTGTGTTTCACTTTTGAGGAACTGCCAGGCCGTCGTCCAAAGCATTGCCCCACTTTACATTCCTGCCAGGGGTGTCCAGCTCCTCTGTATCCTTGCCAACACTATTTCCTGTCTGCTTGGGTGCAGCCGCCCCAGCGGGTATGAAGTGTATCCCAGTGTGGTGGTAACGCAGCCTTTTAAAACCTGCGTGCTCAGAAACCGTCAGTGGTCACTCACTACCCACGGCGTCTGTGAGATCTGAACTCTGCACCCAGCACCCAGTGCCTCCACAGCTACACTGTCTGTCCCAGCATCTTTGCCCCCTCTGCCCTCATGGGAACCCAGCACGCGAGCCAACCCCATCTCCTGATTACCATCCCCTCTTCTGCCTGCCCAGCTGTTGCTAACATTGCAGGTGGACTTGAAGGAACGCAGATGGGATGGAGGATTGGGGCTCCAGAGCAACACTGGGAACAGGGGCGGGGGGGGTGGCCTTTTCTAGGGCCAAGGCCAGGACTGGCCTTGCCCAGGCAAGGGCGTTACAGAAGTGGCAGCACATGCAGCAGAGGTGCCGGGCTGGGGCTCAGCCCCCTCTGCAGTCTGCGTGGCAGATGATAAGAGCACAGCCTTGGCCGCGGACTCAGCAGGGAGTGGAACCCAGGTCCCGGCTCTAAGTGTCCCCTTTTGTTTGCCTGCCCTCTTTCCGCAGCAGGTTAGGGAAGGTACCGTTCAGCCTGATCTAAAGCTTTTCTTAGACTTTTGCAAGAATCCGTGTGACTTGCTAACTTGTAACTGGGATGTCGCCTTCTGTAAATTATTTATTTAAAATAGTATCCCTGCTGGGTGATCTCCAAGCTCTTGTCCTGGGAAGGCTGTGCTTCTGTGGAATTCCTTGAACTTGCTACTGTCATGCACGCCTCTCTAGGAAGCTAACCCATCGCTGTGAAGATCCTTCACTCCGGTGCTGTTGGGACTTACACGCACAGACACAGACACGCGTACCTTGAACCCCTTTGTAAATGAACTTGGCTTGTACGGGCTCAGTGGTTTGATGGTCTGTTTACAATTCCAGAATACTGGGGAAGCATCTTAAGTGCAAAATGTCCTCACGTAGCTTGGTCCGCCGCCTTAACTGCAGACACAGACTTCTCTGGCGGTGCCTCATTCCGTTATCAAAGCAGGACATTCGGCTCAGAAATGGGCCGTTTCTGCATAGGTCCTCAGCTCCTCTGGTCTTCCAACCCAAAGTCCCCAGCCAAGTGTATGTAAGCACCTGCAGAAGGACCGACACGCGCCGGCCTTTCCCATAAAGACTTGTGTCGGTCATGAGTCAGTTCTCTCGTAGCCCCAGAGGGGGACAGACCGGGAAGGGAAGCAGCTGTTATTTGAGGACCCTGGGGGGAACGTGAAGAAGAGCCTCTTTAAGGTTCTAAATTCTTACTGCCTGGCTGTGGAGAGGAGGCGGCCAGTGTGGCACTGGGAGTCAGTTTCCCTCTGAACTGACTTTATTGATGCCTTCGATTAGCCTAACAGTCAACAAGCAAGCACACCACGCACCTGTGGCCCCTACAGAACTACGTGGGGTTGGTGCCAAGTGTTTGTACACACGTGCTGACCTCCTGGCGCTGCTCCCGAAAGAAGTGCTAGCAAAACTGCACGAGAAAGGGAGTCACGGTAACGGAGGTGCATGGCCAGGCGTGTTAGTTCCGCTGATCGGACGATCCTCTTCCTCTTCCTCTTCCTTGAGATGCCCGAGTCATCTCCTTAAGTGTGCAAAGCAGTGTATACGCCACCACCTCTAAAGATGTTCAGGAAACCAGTGTGACTCCCTGTGGGACACGGCCCCTGGGGAAACAGGATGGGTGTTCAGTGTTCACGTGGGGAGGGGTGGTCGTGATGTCAAGGTCAGTGTCTCGACAGCTTTGAAAACACATGAGCAGTGTATCGGTTAAACAAACTGCCTCCATAGTGTGGGGAGCAACCCGGACTGGACTAAGTTACTGGAATTAAGACTTATTCTATGCATCTGCTCTCCCACAATATGGCGCTGGGAGAGGAGAAAACAGCTTCTACGCAGCTGCCTCTTGCCAACTTGAGTGATGACCTCCAGGAGCTGATCCTGCTCCTGATTGGAGGAGAGCAGCATACTCGGCGTGTGGGCAGCCGAGTTGGGATTGGTGGAAGAGGATTATAAAGGAGGAGAGAGACAGCATGCACCAGGAACATCTAAGGGGAACATCTATCTGAAGGAACACCTGTGCAGCCCCCGAGAGAGCCGGCCGGCGGTGTGCCGCTCCCCCGCGGAAGTGGGGAATGTGGCAGGGGGAACCGCCCTTCCACGGAGGTGGAAGGGACGGTAGCCAACCCGGGAAGAACCAGCAGCAAACCCGGGGAGGGCCGAGCAGATGAAAGAACAGCGCAGGGTCCTGTGTCGTTCCTCCACGAAGAGGGGGAGCGACATAATGGTGCCATGACTCGGATATGAAGCCTAGGCAGGGTTTAGTGTCGTTCCTCCACGAAGAGGGGGAGCGACACATAGCCCCAGGTGAGGCTGATCAGTAAGTGAGCAAAAGATAGATTCTGCAATCAGACTCTTGAGGACTTGGTGTTAGTAGGAAGTATTTCTTTTTCTAGAGGCAATGTGTGTATCATATGAAAGCATTCCCAAATGTATGTGACTGTGTGCAGCTGTGTGTCAGAGGAACCCTTCCAGACTGCAGCTCTGGCCATCACATGCTTGCGTTTTGTTCTTTATAACACTGGAGTGACATTGGCATCCCAGCCGGCAGTACTCGGTCATGGGAGTTTTTAATATTCCATTAGCAAAAAACGGCAGTGAAGGGAAATGCAGCTCTTGTCACCCAGGCGCCAGCTCACAGAGAGGGCACAGAGCCACTGGGGATCAGTCCCATGCTCGGGAGGTGCCACTGGGGACCTTAGCGTCCTCTTCTCTCACCCTTCAAAACACGGCTCAAGAACAGGAGACAAGACCAAAGTGTGAGGCTCATGGATTTGCCGAAGATAAAAGTGGCATTTATCTTTGAAGATGAAAATCCAGTCAAATAGTCCCGTGTAATACAAGTAGAACACCCCTAATCCAAAAAGCCCAAATTCTCCAAAATTCAAAACCCTAATCACTGATTTAGTCCCCATGAGTGGAAAATTTCACACCATGAAACTTTTTTCATGCACAAAATTTTTACCATATTGTACAAAATTGCCTTCAGGCTGTGTGTATAAGGTGTATATGAAAGGTAAAGAAATTCTGTGTTTAGACTTGGGTCCTGTCCCCAAGATATCTCGATATCTCAAAAAACAAAAAACAAACAAACAAACAAACAAAAAAAAAAACCAAAGTCAACAGAATCTGTGATGTCTACAAAATCCTTGTTCCCCTCACCAGTAGGTGGCGCTGCAGTTGTACTGTTTCCAGGTGCCCCTTGGAAGTTGACTTGTGCTGTTTGCTCTCCACCAGGTCTGTGTGCCCTCTCTATCAACCATTCCAATTCCTACTTGGCCTATCCCGGAAGCCTGACCACAGGCGAGATTGTGCTTTATGATGGAAACTCCTTGGTAAGTTAACAGTGGTCCCAGCTGGCAGCCCAGGTGCCCTAGCTGTGTGGTCAGTGGAGGGAGACATGGAGGGAGAGGCAGCCCTGGGGGAGTTCTCTGGCCCCTGTGTTGGGTGTGGAAGAGAAGGTAGTGATATGAGCCCCGCGGTTTACCAGCAGCCAGCACCATGGCGAGGCAGATGGCCAGGCCAAAGCAGACCTCAGTAGCGGGACAGAAACCACTGCCCAGCTGGTGGCTGATCGTATGATTGTGCCACACCGCTCCGTGTCGCAACAGGAAACAGTGTGCAGCTGTTCACATGCCCTGCCCTCTGGTCCCAGGCGTCACAGAGCCTGACAGGGTTGCTAGGGGAAGTCCCCTTAAGGTGCATGCAGGGAGGGGCCCGTGTTGTGACACAGCAGGTTAAGCAGCCACTCGTGACGCTGCCATCCCCATCAGACAGCTGGTTCAAGTCCTGTCGCCTCCGCTTCCAATCCAGCAGTCCGACTAATGCTCCTGGGAAGACCGTGGATGATGGCACAAGTACTTGGGCTCCCGCCATCCATGTGGGAGACTCAGATGAAGTTCCTGGCTCCTGGCTTCAGCCTGACCTAGCCCTGGCTGTCGCTGGCTTTTAGGGAGTGAACCACCAGGTGGAAGATATCGCGGTCTCTCTGTCTCCGTCTCTCTTTCTCTCCCTCCCTGCCTTTCTTTCTCTCTGTTCTCCCTTTCAAGTAAGTAAATCTTAAAGAAAAAAAAAAAAAAAGGATCCAGGGAGCACCCATGACAGCCTCACCTGCACTGGGCACACAGTTAGGTTTGCACCTTCCCAAGAAGGGAAAAGGGGTAGAAATGGAGTGGCCTTGGACCTGACCCTCAGTACACTAGTAAATGATGTATAGCTTCTATGCAAATGGTCTGGTGGGAGTGGAGGGGAGAGAGAAGAGAAGAGAGAGAGAGAACGAACCCTGCAAATAAGGGAGAAAAGACGGAGGAGAGGGCCAGAACACTCATCTTCCCTATTCTAGCATCAACATCCATTTTTCCTTCGCACCACCAGAAAACTGTCTGCACCATCGCTGCCCACGAGGGGACGCTGGCCGCCATCACCTTCAACTCCTCCGGCTCGAAACTCGCAAGCGCGTCTGAAAAGGTAAGTGCCCTCCTGGGGCCGCCTCCTGCCTGGGAATTCGCGGGATGGCTCCCGTGGGTGCCCCGAGAGCGGAGGGGCTGAGACTGACGACACCCAGGCTGACCGGTCCCTGGGCCTGCTCGGAGTCTGTTGCAGAGTGAGAATCTCTGGTCCCTGCATGCTGCCGTCCCTTTGGTGCGTGTATGAATTCAGCAGACTGAAGGCGTGCGCTCTGGAAGACCTAAGACTGCCTGGCAGCGTGAGGCCTCACTGAGAAGCGTGAAGGCACGCCTTCCCACAGCGCACGCTGCGTTGTTCCTAACCGCGGCGTAGACACAGGGCAGGGCTCTTTAGCTGGAGAGGGCCACCTCTTGTGACTGGAATGGTCAGGAAGATGATCAAGTTGAATGTCAAATGCCATGAAAAGCAGGTGCATTTTGATAGGCAGAGCGTGAGTATTCCAGGAAGCCAGAGCAGTTTGCGCATGCACACACACACAGGCTCACACGTGTACACACTCACAGAGCCTTGGGCAGAGGTGGGGGGAGAGGGGAGAGAGTTTAAACGTGTTCCAGGGTGGGCAGTTAACCTAGCAGTTAAGGAGCCCACATCCCATATCGGAGTACTTGGGTTTGGTACCTGAGCCCAGCCTCGTGCTAATGCAGACCCTGGGAGGCAGTGGTGATGGCTCAAGTAGTTGGGTCCCTGCCACCCATGTGGGAGACCTGGGTTGAGTTCTCGGCTGCTGGCTTTGGCCCAAGCCCTGCCCTGTGCATTTTGGGTATTTGGGGAGTGAACCAGCAGATGGGAGTTCTTTTTGTCGCTGCCTCTCAAATAAATAAAATTAAAAAAAAAAAAAAAAGTAAAACACATTCCAAGAATTGCTTTTATGGCACACACACAAGGGTATCTGAAAAAAGTTCATAAAAAATGAATTAGAAGGTTTACTATGGAGGAAAAAAAAATTGAAATCCATGCATGGTTTTTTTCATAATATGCATTTTCCACGAACTTTTTGAAGACCCCTCCTACAGACAAAAATGGCTCCCTGTTGAACACTGCCCCATCCCTGTGAGGCCGCCGATGGTGAGGGACTGTCACCTGCTCTCTTTTCCAGGGCACAGTCATCCGCGTGTTCTCTGTACCTGACGGGCAAAAGCTCTATGAGTTTCGGAGAGGAATGAAAAGGTCTGTGTCCCACGTCAAAGCCATGGTAAAGTCCCCGTGGAAGTCCAGCTGAAGGCAGCGCGCTGCCACCTGGGGAGAGGCCAGAGGCCGCCCCGTGCCCTCCTGCCCCTGCTCTGGCCTGGAGGAAGCGTAACTGTCCTTTCTCAGCTCGTTTGCCTCGAGGCCTGCTCGTGGCTTAGTACCGAGAGCAGAGGTGCTGTTGGAATGCGGAGTTCAGCCGTGAGGTTCTTGTCCTTTCTTGCTGTGTGCCTGGGCGGCCCACCCAGGACAAAGGAGAGAGCCAGGGAGTCGGGGTCCAGAGCAGCTTCTGATTCCTTCCATGGAAACAAAGGGCCATGTCTGGGGTCTCTCCCGGCTGCAGGGTCTGCAGCCGCGTCAGTGCGTGGGGCAGCCGGCTGACTCCCAAGGTGACAGGAAGGTGCAGGTGCTCCCGCCCACCGGCCAAGGCAGACCATGACCCTGGGCGAAGCGGGCTGACACTTACATCCTAAGCGTGAACAACACGCAGTTGAAGGGATCTCAGTTCCTAGGCTCCCCAGGAGACATCTGATCCTCTTACAAATGTCACTTTGAAGGCGAAGGCGGTCAGTCACCCTCCTTTCTCTGGCTTTCCGGGCCGTGCACGGCCGTGTTTGCAGGTATGTGACAATCAGCTCTCTCGTGTTCAGCATGGACTCGCAGTTCCTCTGTGCCTCCAGCAACACCGAGACCGTGCACATCTTCAAGCTGGAACACCTCACCAACAGGCAAGTGCCACGCCAGCCAGGAGTCAGCCCTGGTGTTCCCGGGCACACGAGACCCCATTCTCTTCCGAATGCCCTAGGAGGCTTCCACGTCACACCTCACCACAGAGGGGTGTAACGAAACTCTTACGGGAGAACATGCAGAAAATCTGGGGCCACCCTCCCATCTGAACCCCAGGAAGACAATCCAGTCTCTCTCTGCATTCCCAGAGGAAACGTTGTGTCTAGGAAACAGACACGGTGATAGCATACCCATCAGGCTGCCCGGGAGGGCCTGGTGAGTGTCCTGACTGGGGTGTGGAGCACAGTGCCTGGCGTGCACGGACGGTGAGCACTCCTGTTGGGCAGTGCACCTGTCAGCACAGTCACACAGTCACCGCCATTGCCAGCCCCCTCTGGGTGCTTCCAGACAGTCCGGTTCTGGTGAGGAAGAGCGTGGTCAGGTTGCAGCCAGTGGGGGTGTGTGTGTGTCTCCCATGGCTGCGGTACCAAACTGCCACAATGAAATGGCTTTGGACGCCATGTCACGCTTCTCTGGGTCAAAAGCCTACCATGGCGTGGCTGAGTCCTCTGCCAGCGTTGAAATGGAGATGCCGCGTGGTCATCTGGGGCTCCGAGTCCTCTTCCAAGTTCTTTCCTGTCCTTGGCAAGAAGGCAGAGCCCTGTGGATGTGACAGTGGGGGCCCTGCTGTCAGCTGGGGACCTTTCTCAGCTGCTAGAGGCCACAGCTCCCTCCCCCAGGGAGCAGCCTTCACACCAGCAGGGCCTCCGATTCCTTCCCACACCTGCCATTCCTCCCACTTGGCCTTCTGCCTTCCTTTTCTGCCACCCGTGGGAGAAAGCGCAGGGTCCAGGGACCAGGGTGCGGAATCCGGGGGCTGCTCCTAGGAACCCTGTCTGCTGGGGTGCGTGAGGTTCGTTTAGAGCAGCCAGCCACCACCTAGGCACGTGGTCGTGTTCACACTGGGAAGCGTGGAGGATTCTCCGCCCTCCCAGCCGTCGTCCGTGGTACAGTGTTGCCAGCAGTCTAGATCCTGAGTCTAAGGCACAGCAGGTGGCTTCAGGCACCTTGTGTGCCTCTCCACACCCTTCTGTGGTGTCCTTTTTGGAAACTGAAACCTGAAGTTCTAGTGATTTGCTCCGTTACGCTCTGAAAGCAAGGGGTAGAGTAACGACACCCATGCATTGGGAGAGCCCTTTGCACGCTGCCCCCTGGGCTGCCCAGGCTGTTTCTAGAAGGCAGCAGAGTAGGAATCTGATAGCCAAGGTTTTCGGAACTGAGGTTCAGAGAATTTCAGTGTCTCAAAGATGGCCTCTGGCGGCAAGCCCAGAGTCCCCACGCAAAGACCACTTTTCACCCCTATTCGGCATCTTTGGCGCTGCCTCTCAGTGCCAAGTACACGCCCCTGGGCTGGGCTTCACAGCGGTGCCAACAGAGGCCTCCCGCTGTGGCAGGACTTCCACGAGAGAAACGCTTTTTCCACGTATGTAATACAAGATGGCACCGGTTTCTGTTACGCGTGGCCGAGCGTGCGTTGTTGAGGGCGTGTACTCTGAGAGTGAGTGTGGGGCGGCGCCCAGGCGCCTTGTCTCTCTCCTTCTGACACTCCAGCCTCCAGGGCACCAGCAGCCACGCGCTGGATCCTGCTGTTTTTGGCACTGGCTTGGCCTTTCCAGGAAACCTTGTCCCCCCACCCCCACCCCATCCCACTGGTATCTGGAACACGGGCTGCTGTCTCTTCACTGCTCAGTCTTCCCAGGACGCTTCTTGTCAGCTCCCATCCCTGGGTAGCCGTGTCTGAAACTCATCGTTTGCCCTGAAGGTCTTCCTCCTCTGCACATTTGCCCAGAAAGCCTGGCTGCGTTCTAGACTTTTCTCTCGCTTCTCAGACAGTTTCTACACACCCAGTGTAGCAGATCGGCGTGTCAGAGAACGGCCCAACGGTGTGACCCCAAGCGGCTGCCTCGGCCCTGTCCCCTGCATTTGTCTCCTGTGCTGAGGATGGGGAGTTGACCTCCCCACACCTGGCCCTCCTGTTTGTCAGTGGCCACAGGTGGCCAGGAGCAGTGAGTTATTCTGAACACTCTGAGCGCATCTGTGACGTGTTCACGGGTCCTGGGTGACGGGGCTTGCACCCGCCGCCCCCCTTCACCACAGCTGGGACTTGGTTATGCTTAGATCCGGCTTCACTTTTCCGGTCACTTTTTACCAAGCCATCTTCTTGCTGGATTGATCCTCTGAGAACGCTCCTTTGAACTTGATACGCGCGCACTCTTCATACACTTTGGTCTCTTTGCTCTTGGGAATGAAATCCCAGCCCTCCGCACCCTCCTGGTGGCACAGCCCAGCGGCCCCCACCCCAGCCCCGCCCCCATCCCTCCAGCCTCAGGGATCCCATCTTGCAAAACCACATTTGCCGCATGGCAGGCTCTATGCTAAGAGCTCAGTGTTCCCAGCAACCCGAACAGGGTTCTCCCCAGTTTCCCAATGAGGAGACACAGAAACCAGGAGGTTAAGGACCCCCACCTGTTCCTCTCTCCCCCTGGGGTAGTTCCTGCCTATACCAGTCACATGGAGTGTGCATCAACCACTAGGCTGCCCTCGCTTCCTCTTCCCTCCCCTCCCCTCCCCTCCTCTCCAAAAGGCAGAGAGAGACAGGGAGAGAGAATCTTCCATCTATTGGTTCACTCCCCAAATGTCGACAGCAGTCAGAGCTGGGCCAGGTTAAAGCCAGGAGCCCAGAACTCAATCCTGGTCTCCCATGTGGGCAGCAGGGACTCAAGGACTTGAGCCATCATCTGCCTCCCAGGATGGATGAGCAGTAGAGGAGCTAGGACATGAAGCAGGCTCTCCCAGATGGGTTGTAGGCTCTGCACCCAATGCCCATGCTGGCTGCTTTCCTAGTCACACATCTGGGCTGTGTGCACCTCGGATGCAGGGTCTGGAGGGTCTTCCTCTTTGTAAGTCCCAACTGCAGCCCAGGCCACCAGGGCACCCACACAGGCGTGACTCACCAGGCTTCAGTGATTGTAGTACGTCCAGAAGGGTCACTTTCACGGGAGAACACCAAGGGCCAGGGAGGTCTGTCCCGAGCCCACAGTGAGCGAAGCCCCAGGCTGCCGAGCTGCAGTGCTCATCTCCCGCCAGGCTCTCGTCCCATAGACAAGCGGCCTCGAAGCTGGGGCCCCTGGAACGTGCGGGGGAGCCCCCATGCTCAGGATACCGCCCGCGGTGTGGAGCGCAGAGAAGGGGATGTCCCTCCCCTACACAACGGCCACCCCTCTGTCTGGCGGAGGCCTCGGGATGGAGTTTGATGGCTGCAGGAGGCAGCCAGGTTGCTGGGAATGATCTGGGCCATTATGAGCTCTGGGTACCCGAGTGGCCCCAGGGCTGTCATCAGACACTGCCCCAGATATCTTGCCCGGGGGTTTTGCTTCCCACCCAGTCTGGCTCCAGGGGCCTTCACCCTGGGATCTGTCTGTTCTCCCAGGAGCCCAGGACAGGGTCCGGATATCGGCCCCATCTCATTCTCTACCCCAGTCCTCTCCTGGAAATCTAGAAATCAGACTAATCATCAGATACAGGCTTCTTAATGGAAGGAAGCAGTAGCACTGGGAACCTTTTAATGGCTTTGCAATGACTCTTCTAAAGGACAAACAGGCCCATGGTGCTCTTTTGTTATTGCCAGAATAATCTGTCTTGTGGGCAGGACGTTACGTGAAGGCACAGTTTCTCCCTGCTGCAGTTAACACAGCTAATGAGGTCTGGACGTGCAGATCACTGGCTCGATGCCGGCGCCTGCAGCTCCATCCCATCGTCGCCTCTGCCTTTGCCCCCTAGCCGGCCAGAAGAGCCTTCCACCTGGAGCGGCTACATGGGGAAGATGTTCATGGCTGCCACCAACTACCTCCCCGCCCAGGTGTCGGACATGATGAACCAGGACAGGGCTTTTGCCACCGGACGCTTGAACTTCTCGGGGCAGAGGAACATCTGCACCCTCTCCACGTACGTATGGTGTCACCCACGCGACACAAGCGCATACTCTTGTAAATGCAATTTCCCAAAGCAAGAAGATGCTCTAAGAGGTGGGGAGAATCAACCCCTGCTATTTTCTTTTCTTTTTTAGGACTTATTTGTTTGAAAGGCAGAGTTATAGAGAGAGACAGAGATCTTCCATTCACTGGTTCACTCCCCAAATAGCTACAACAGCAGGGGCTGGGCAGGCAAAAGCCAAGAGCCAGGAGCTCCATTTGGGTCTCCCGCATGAGTGGCAGGGGCCCGAGCACGGGGCCATCTTCTGCTGCTTTTCCAGGCACATTCATTCGCAGGGAGCTGGATATGGCGCAGAGCAGCTGGGACTGGCACTCGAAAGGGATGCAGGGTCACAGGCAAGGTTTAACCTGCTATGCCACAACGCCATTCCCACCCCCTGCTTCTGTTGTTATTTTGTTTGCTTGTGTGATTTGAACATGGAGTCTTGCAGGGCAGCTGGGAGCAGCTGAGAGAATTTTCACCTTCTGGGTATAACAGTTCTTATTTTTATGTAAAAAGATGTGCGTTCCACTGTCTAGGTTCAGACACCTGCGGTGCCAACAGATGTTTTATTAAAGAAGTTGAAGGTTTAAAAAAGGCCATACAACTCATGAGGCAAGGACAGTGAGCCAGTTGTACCCTTCTCCCCTGTCACTGTTAAGGCAGAGCCCCCGCCCCCCGCCAAGGGAGTGTGCCGCGTAGCTCGGCTCCTGTGCTGGCGGCCAGTGGCTCTGCACACATCACGTTGTCTTGTCCACACAATCACGTTCAAAGACAACAAATGACCCTGAGGGTGGACCATGAGGTCAGCAGGCCAGGGAAGAGCCGGAAGCCCAGAGTCCGGCCTGGTGGCTAAGTCCCGTGGCGGCAGGAGCGGAGCTGGCGGCAGCCGGGGTGCGCGAGGCGGTGCGTGTTAGCCGCCTTCGCAGTAAGCAGTTCCTGTTTGACGTGGCTCACAGGATCCAGAAACTGCCGAGGCTGCTAGTTGCATCATCCGATGGACACCTTTATATCTACAACCTGGACCCTCAGGATGGAGGAGAATGCGTCCTGATCAAGACCCACAGGTGAGGATCCCCGTGACCAGCCAGGATAGCAGCCCTGTCCCTGTGCCAAGGATGACGACAAGCTCCTGTGCCCTTGCGTCCGTTCCTGTGTCGCCGCGGTCTCCGTGGCACACCCCTGGCAGGCACCTGCTTTACAGGGGGCTCCACATCAGGGGTCCCCGCTTGCCGATGTCTCCTGGAAAAGTGACCAGGTGGGCAGTGCTAAAACAGGCGTCCCTCTCTTGGCCTGACCTCGCACAGCCCTGGGACACGAAGGGTGTCAGGAGCAGCCACGGAACTCAACTGCGCAGTCCTCTTGCCCTGCTGTGGACAGGGCACCGAGAGGCTGCACCTGCCTCCTCGCCCAGGGCCACCCCTGGTTAGCGTGGCTTAGTGTCCCCGCCTGAGCGCACCAGGAGGCGCAGAGGCCGAACCCTTGCTGGTTAAATACGAGCACCAGGGGTCGTCGTCAAGTTGCCCAACTCCTGGTAGCGTAAGGCCGCTTCAGGTCACACCCAGCCGAGTGCAGGAGTGGACGTGAGTGTGTAATTGCAACCCAGACGGCCGAGCACCAGCCTCCTCCCACTTCCCTTCAGAAATGTTCCAGCCCAGCGCTGATTTCTTCTTTCCCCTCCTCTTCATCGCTGCATGCAGCCTGCTTGGCTCAGGAACAGAAGAGAATAAAGAAAATGACCTCAGGCCTTCCTTACCTCAGTCTTATGCAGCCACGGTAGCCAGACCAAGCTCCTCCGCAGCCTCCACGGTGCCCGGTGAGTGCCCGGGCCCTTCTCCCTCTGCTGTTACCTGGGGAGGAGCGCTCGCACCACGCCTGGGATCGCGTCTTTCCCCCCCGGTGTGGCCCTGGCAGTAGCCTACAGATGGGCCTGGCAGGTGCAGTGCAGGGTGGTCGAGTCAATTCTTTGCCTCCTGGAGAACTGCAGAGAGGTGGAGAGCTCCCGCACCCCCAGAGGGAAGGGGGTGAGGCCGGCCAGGGGTGGGGACTTCAGTCCCCATCAGCTCCCCACCTGTCCAGCTGGAAGCGTGGACCCCCTTTTGCCAAGATCCTGCCCCCGGGCCACGCGTCAGAACAGACCCTGTGGGCCAGCCCAACCCCTGCCCCTTGTCTCACTTCCCGCTCTCCTTCCAGGTTACTCGGAGGACGGCGGGGCGCTCCGAGGCGAGGTTATTCCGGAGCACGAGTTTGCCACGGGACCCGTGTGTCTGGAGGACGAGAATGAATTTCCCCCTGTGAGCATCAGGAGCCCCTAAGCGCAGCTCGGTCTGGGTGCTTCCAGGGGACTTGCCCGTGTTCAAGAGGCAAACCCACTTTCCCTGTTCTCCAGGCCCTAACAACTAACCCTCCTCTCTGGTACGCACACAGCCACGGGACACCACCGTGCTGCAGGCTCAGGCCCCGCCCAGCAGCCTTTAGGGGTGGAGCTAAGCCCTGGCGGCAGAATAACCGAACACTAATCCAGGGTTGTGGTGGCCCGAGCCCCTGCTGAGGCCCGGGGTCTTCGCCTTCGCTTCTGCGGCTCTCTCTGCCTTTGCTCCTCACCTGGGGACGCACACCTGCCAGACTGAGTTTCCTGGGACCCCCGAGGCTGCTTGCGCAGAATGCTGCCTTTCTGTTGCTGGAGGGGACGATTCCACGGGCTGGACCGTGTGCCGAGGGCTCCGTGGGCCAGCTCCACCCGTGCCCCTTCCAGCTGCAGCAGGGCAGGGCCGAGTCTCCCTCAGCTGCAGATGCCCATTCAGAACCAGCCACAGGGAGGTGGGCGCCGAGGTCTCCCGGCGTCCTGCTCCAGCTGTCCTGGCCGCGAGAGCCCCAGGGCTGGCTGAGCGCTGGGCTTGGCTTCTCTGGCATCTGCTTTCTAGAGAGAAGATTCTCCCCCAGGAGGCTGCCAGGGTAGGGTTCTCGGAGCTTCCATGAAGCACCGCAGAGGCCTGCTGTGAGCCTGTTAGGAAACATCCCAGTCAAGCTGAAATCATTGTCTGTGTCACCTGAGATTCCACATGCGGAAGGCCAGAGTGTGAGCCTGACTTCCTCCCCACTCAGGTCATGGAGCCATCCACTAAGCACATGTGGCTAAACAATAAAGTTGTGTGGGGCCCCTGTGGGAGCTTGGGGTGGCTGTGATCTGACGACCACAGCCTGGTAGTTTTCATTTCTGGATTTTTTTCTAGGCAGGTTGCAATATACTGCCAACAAATGGAGTTTATATTTTAGTGGCGGAGAGCATTGGTTCTTAAAATTACTAATTATATATATAAAAAATATATATATATATCTGGGCTTGCTGCCGAACTATAAACCAGTTACTTTTGCCTTTGAGTTCTCAAGGTCCCAAGTAGCCATAAAGGGAGCCGTTGGATCTCCTGCAAAGCGGGAGACGGTTTACCCAAGGGTGTGTCTTCCAGGAACCAAAGTGACGTGGGCCAGACACGGGGCAGCTGTGTTTCTCCAGCCCCTACCAAGGTTCCCAGCACTCAGACGCTCAGCAGTGCCATCTCAGTGATGCTGGTATAAGAGATTAGTAGATTACTAATTAGCTAACGAAGGAATCAGAGTAGACCTTGCATGTATTTATAGAATGGGGGTAAATGTTGTATATTGCCAGGCAGTAGTCCCTTGCCAAAGCAAACCACTATAAAACAATAGGGCATCTGTGTAGGCCATTTGCTTGGAGTTACTTAAAAAAAAAATCAAGAGGTGTTTAAGGACCGATACTCAAACTTATCACAAGGCCCTGCCACTGCCGGAAGCCAGGTATGAGCCAAATGAGGGAACCCCAGCTCAGCTCTGTTGGAAGTCTTTATATACAAGCAGTGCCTCCTGCTAGGTGAGAGGGTGGTTTGCTGAATACTCTGGCCAGCACTGGGCAAGCCCCAGGTAGGCTCAGTAGCCTGCAGCTCCTCCATCTCACCAGCCAAGGACCAGAGGCGTGAGATGCTCTGGGATGCTCTCTCAGCGTGGTCCATGCGAGGCGCGGCCACACGGGCAGAGATGTTCAACGGAGGTGCTAGAACACTCCCTTCCTTGCTTCTCTGGACTGTCGTGCCATCACAAATCTGCCAGGATGCGCATCTTTACTCACGTTCCTTCAAAACTGCCAGGATCTCAAAGGATCCTGGAGCCTTGGCTTGCTAAAATCGCTTCTCTTACAGACATGAACATGGGCCTCTGCCTTAAGAACATGGGTCGCTCAGTGGCCTCTCCAGCACGCCGCCACTTCCCTGCGCACCCTCCCTCTTCCTTCCTTGGGATTTTCTTTGGTCCCTGACAGAGAGGCTGCATTCACTCGGGAGGAGCAGCACCTTCTGTCTCCTAAGCAGCCGACCTGCACAGGTCTCAGGTCTGGACTCTCGGGAGCGAGGGTATAGCCTGCCTTGTGCACAGCGATTTAGCAGTCTGTGTTTACAAGTACACTGAGCCTGTTAAAACCTACACACTTAGGTGTGGTACACACACCTTGTCTCCATGGTCAGTATTGTCTGCAGCTGTGCCACCCTCACAGCCGGGAGGAGCTGCCGTGGCTGTGGCCGAGGGCCCCCTGTGGCAGACAGACATGCCCACAGTGCCCACCGGGCCAGTGCCCACCGGGCCAGCCTGTTGTGGCACAGCCGGCCTCTTCCTGGGAAGAGTAAGGCCCCTCTGTTTTGGTTTTGGTAGATAATCTTGTGCCGTGGAAGTCAGAAGGGCAAATCGAAGCAGTCGTGAGGAGCGCCCGAGAAGGCAGGCCACCCCTAGCGGGTGGTTTTGGAGAAAACCAGGAAGGTGAAGAACGGAGTGCGGTTGTGTGAGCAGAGGGGGCAGGCCCAGGCGCTGTGGGCCACAGGACGTGGGGACTCCTCACCCAACTCCCGCCAGCCCTGGGCCACTGGGCGGGGAGACATCGGACACACACGATGCTATTTAAAAATCTGTTCAAACCACAGTGTAAATGCTAACTAACCATATTGGTATATAACCCGAATTTTATATTAAAAAGGGCATCCTTTTTAAATGTATGCTGTGTAAAAAATGTACTTATAGAAAAATCACTTTGAATAGTGTTTCTTGTATATTACATACATGCAGAAACTATTTTAGCCAGGCAAAAGTATTTTTGCAGTGATTGGGATAAATCATTATTACCGTGGAGTTCCACATAGGACACTAATAATAAAATCATGGCAATGCATTGCTGAGGCTTTTTGGTTTTGTTGTTTTGAGGTTTTAGGGGGAAAAGAACTCCTAAAGTCAATTACATGCAGTCAACGGCCCTGTACAAAGGGAAGTGGGGCCAGGGCCGTGGATCTCACTGTGGATGCCGCTGCTGTCAGACCTGCAAGCTGACCCATCCTGGTCTGGACCCACGCGAGGCAGCTCAAGGTGTCCCCAGGGAGCTTGCTAGACATGGGAGGCTCTCGGGCCTCACTCAGCACACCTGAGTCAGAACCCACATTGTCACAAGCGCCTAGGTATTTGTGTGCATATTTTATTTTACTATTTTTTAAAGATTTACTTATAGACTTGAAAGGCAGAGTTACAGCAAGAGAAGGAGAGACATGGAGAGAGGTCTTCCATCTGCTGGCTCACTCCTCAAATGGCCACTACCACCAGGGCAGGGCCAACCTGAAGCCAGGAGCCTGGAACTCCATCCGGGTCTCCCACAGGAGTGGCAGGGGCCTGGGAACTTGGGCCATCCTCCACTGCTTTCCCAGGTGCACTGGGAAGTGGAGCAGCTGGGACTCCTAGGTGTGCCAGCACCGCGGGGGGCAGCTTAACCCTCTGACCACAACCCTGGCCCTGTGTGCACATTTCAGATGAAGGTCTGCTCTAGCAAACCTGAGACTGAGACGTGCTGAGTGCCGGCCCTGTGCGAGGCATCCTCAGCTGCGGCCTTATTTGCCCTTCAACATCAACTTGCAGTTTGGGTTAAATCATTGCCCAAGTTCAAAACCCGAGGCTCGAACTCATGCCTGTGGCGTGCTTTCCACTGCCCTGTGCTGAGCTCAGCTCAGCTGCGCCCCCAGGCCGGTATGGGGAGGGACAGGGAGCAGAGGGGCTGCCTCAGAACAGATGCTGGCATTGTTTGTAAAGGGGGTAAAAGCGCAGTTTGAAAGTGAACTTGCCCGTCTAGTTTCTAGAGACTCCTCCGGGCGGAAGGGTCGGTTCCTCGGCGCGGCAGCGGCAGGCGGCTTGGGCGGGGTCGCAGCAGGGGATCACTGACGGATCCTGAGTGTAGTCCGCTCTGGAGACGTTGTCACCAGCAACGTCATGAAGGATGTCGGCAAGGGCCTGTCTGACCTCGGGCAGCACAGCCTGGTACTGGGCACCACCTCTCGGCAGAGGCGCACCCTCCCCGGCGTCATCTTCCAGGTTGAAAATGAGGGGAGGCTCATGGCGCTGCTCAGGCCCGACACGTCCGTCGCAGGCTCTGGCTCCACCTGGAGAGACGAGGACCACAAGGACCATCAGGCCCGGCTCTGCCTGGGCTGTGACCAGATGTGCTCATTCTCACACTGCAACTCCAGCGGCCAAGTGACTGCTCCCCCTGGCCAAGGCGCTGCCTGGACATGTGTTTCTCCGTCCAGTGGTGACCCTGCTGTCCAAGATGGTCTGCAGCGTCTCCTTGGGCTGGCCTTCAGGACCAGCACAACCTTCATCCAAATTTACTGCCCTTGGGGAGCAAACCTGAATTTTTTCAAAAACTGATTTCTCACATACCAACTGGTGAACAAGGCAGGAAAGCAGGTGAGCGCTTTCACTTGGGTTGAAGACGCGATGCTTTATGGAGACTGAATCTGGCTCCTAAGGCCATCCCAAGAGGGGAGGGACCAAGATATGTTTGCCTTTTCTATATAAAAGGTAGTTAAGATATCTGACAGAAATAAATAGAATTGAATAAACAAAGGGATTTTAAGACAAAGGATAATCCTTAGAAATATAGGAGTTCCTGGGCTGGCACTGTGGCTCACTTGGTTAATCCTTCGCCTGCAGCGCCAGCATCCCGGTCGGGGCACCGGATTCTGTCCCGGTTGCTCCTCTTCCAGGCCAGCTCTCTGCTGTGGCCCGGGAAGGCAGTGGAGGATGGCCCAAGTGCTTGCGCCCTGCACCTGCGTGGGAGACCAGGAGGAAGCACCTGGCTCCTGGCTTCGGATCAGTGTAGCGCCAGCCGTAGTGGCCATTTGGGGAGTGAACCAATGGAAGGAAGACCTTTCTCACCGTCTCTCTCTCTCACTGTCTATAACTCTACCTGTCCAATTAAAAAAAATTAAAAAAAAAAAGAAATATAGGAGTTCCTGAACACCTGCTTTGCTACTGAGCTTATGAGTGGCCAAACATCAACAGGACAGAAGCTTATCAGCCGCTCAAGACATGGAGCTTTTTCCAGTGCTGAGATCAAGAGGAATTACCAGCCAGCGCCGTGGCTCAGTAGGCTAATCCTCCGCCTTGCAGCGCCGGCACCCCGGGTTCTAGTCCTGGTCGGGGCACTGGATTCTGTCCCGGTTGCCCCCTTCCAGGCCAGCTCTCTGCTGTGGCCAGGGAGTGCAGTGGAGGATGGCCCAAGTGCTTGGGCCCTGCACCCCATGGGAGACCAGGAGAAGCACCTGGCTCCTGCCTTCGGATCAGTGCGGTGCGCAGGCCGCAGCACGCCAGCCGCGGTGGCCATTGGAGGGTGAACCAATGGCAAAGGAAGACCTTTCTCTCTGTTTCTCTCTCTGTGTCCACTCTGCCTGTCAAAAAAAAAAAAAAAAAAAAAAAAAAAAAAAAAAAAAAAAGGAGGAATTACCCCTGTGCCTTCTCCTATAAGATAGCCTGGTTGATGGAATGCACAATGGCAATCATGTGAAAAATACAACGGTGTGGTTAGGATGGTCTAGCTGGTGACGTCACATCACACCCTTCACTGCAAGATGAGAACACAGCCAGGGTGCAACTCAGAGGCCGGGGCATGCCACCTGAGGATGCAGCTCTTTGCTCCAACCTGCTGGCACCAGAACTGGAGACACTGGCAAGAGTGAGTGGATCCTGAGGCCTGTAGGCAGTCCTCTTACCAACGGTTTTCCTCCCGTGTCAGATTCAGGTGACTCAGCACAGATCAAGAGTTACTCCCTGGCCAGCACCGCAGCTCACTAGGCTAATCCTCTGCCTGCGGCGCCAGCACACTGGGTTCTAGTCCCGGTTGGGGGGGTGCCAGTTCTGTCCTGGTTGCTCCACTTCCAGTCCAGCTCTCTGCTGTGGCCCGGGAAGGCAGTGGAGGATGACCCAAGTGTTTGGGTCCTGCACCCGCATGGGAGACCAGGAGGAAGCACCTGGCTCCTGGCTTCAGATCAGCGCAGTGCGCTGGCCGCAACGTGCTGGCCGTAGCAGCCATTTGGGGGGTGAACCAACGGAAAAGGTAGACCTTTCTCTTTGTCTCTCTATCTAAATCTGCCTGTCAAAAAAAAAAAAAAAAAAAGCGCTACTCCTTTTGCCTAGAGCTGGAGTAGGGTTTACCTGTGCCTCACTGCCGGTAAGGGGCAGGGACATGGGGCTTGGACAGTCGGTCAAGCAAAAGTTGAGATTGACCTCAGTTATAAAAATTAAATTCCACCGAAGGAAGTAGTGGAGTGGTTTATATAAACTACTATCCTGTAATCATAAATTCTAGGCAACATTAAAGAAAAAACTGAAGGTGCCAGGAAATAACCCAGACAGGTAGGAACTGTCACACTAGGTTGAGTCTGAGTTGAATTTCTCCCCAGGAGACACTCCGCAGTCTGCTGCACGAACAGCAGAAGTAGGGAAGAAAGCTGCAGTCTCTGGCTTGCAGCGTCACAGGGCTCCCACAAAGGAGGGGAGCTCATGGGGCAGATCTGATCCAGAGGTACACAGGGAGTCTACCTACCCGCTCTCTTCAAGTCCTTGGCTGACCCCTGAACTCCGCATGCCCGGCGGAGAGGTTCTAGAACGGCTAGAGGGCTCTGGCACTTCTGCTCCAGAGTGTGCATCCCATCAAATCAGACTTGTTAAGAACTGTAGATTCCCCACTGAAGTCCCACAGGCTTCATGCCACAAGTAAAGACCAGGTTCCAGAGTTAGGGGCCTTACCTAAGAGAAAAGGCACAACCTGAAAGACCAGTCCCAACAAAGTATAAAGCCTCCAAAAGTTCAAGGGAGCCAACCACCAATTAACTGCCCGGGAGAACAAAACTCCACACTCAGATAACACGAGCCAGAATTTCTACAAGGTACCATCGACCACGTCCAGTTCACAATTTTAAAAACTATTCAATAAGAAGCTGACAGTTTCCAGTTTGGCATGTCAGCAGCTGGGAAGTCACCTCTCCATGCCTACAGGGAGTGGAAAGCAGAACAAACTCACAGAGGTCAGAGGGCAAACCCTCGCCCTCTGACAACAGACAGGCAGTGCAGTCACAGCTGCGGGAGCTGAAACCTCCGCGGGAACCAGAAGGGCGAGCGGAAAACCCGAACCATAGTTGGCAAATTCCTGGGGTCCCAGTGCAGACAAGTCCTAGAGAGAAAAACCACAGGGGACCCAGGCACTGAGAGTCCCCTCGCCACCACCACTCCAGCGAGTGTCGCCCCCAAGGCCTCAGCCAGGTTCTCACAGTAAGTACTGGAAACCCCCCCACCCCCCCCCGCCTGCTTCCCAGGAGGCAGAGGAGAAGGTAACAGTTTTTGAACACGTCAGAGCATTCTACATTTTTTTAAAGATTTACTTATTTATTTGAAAGGCAGAACTACAGAGAGGCAGAGGGGGAAAGAGAGACAGAGGTCTTCCATCTGCTAGATCGCTCCCCAAATGGCCACAATGGCCAGAGCTGAGCCAATCTGGAGCCAGGAGCGTCTTCCGGGTCTCCCACATTGATGCAGGGACTCAGTCACTTGGGCCATCTTCCACTGCTTTCCCAGGCCACAGCAGAGAGCTGGATCGGAAGAAGAGCAGCTGGGACTCGAACTGTTGCCCATATGAGATGCTGGCAGATGGTAGATTTACCCGCTATGCCATAGCACCGTCCCCAGAGGATCCTATTCTTAATAAGCCCTGCCATCAGGAGACATTGTCATACAAGAGCCTAAATTACTGGGCTTTTTTTTTTTTTTTCCAAAGCCCAACCAACATAGGAGAAAGAAAATAACCAACTTCAGCCTGCCTATCTTGTCCCACCTAAGGTGGAGGCAGGGAGACCAAGAAGCACTTAGGAGGTTCACAGTCCCTGGTCACAGGCTCAACAAAAGACCGAGACCTCCTGGTGGGATTGCAGTTCACCTGCCCACCCCACACCTCGCCACAAAGGCCTGTTTATCACAGTTCCTTTTACTCAGGACATCATGTCCAGCTAGCAAGGGAAAAATTACAAGACATACTAAAAGGCAAAAACTAGTGTGAAGAGACAGAGCAAGCATCAAAACCAGGCTCAGGGATGGTAGAGAGGAGGAAGTGGCAAACCCCGAAGACTAGGATCCAAAGGGCTCTCAAATGGGAAAGCAGACAATAGGCAGGGACAGCCAGGCCCTGTAGCAGGGGGATGGACACTCCCAGAATCCAAAGAGAAGCACCAGTGCTGACAGCCCTGCGACAGAAGTGGAGAGAGCCTTTCATGGGCTCAGGATTAGACTGGTCATGGCTGAGCTCGAGGGTATCTCGGAAGGAACCAGAGAGCACACAGAACAAAGAATGAAAGCAGGACGGGATATCCAAGCCTGGGGGCACCTGCACAATGTAACTACACACAATAGGGGATACCAGAAGGAGGAGGAGGAGGAACAGGAAGAAAGGAACTATTTGAAGCAGTATGGACTGGGGGAAGGGGTGTCAGGCACAGTGGTGAAGGTGCCAGTTAAGACACCCTCATCCCGTATCAGAGTGCTGGCTCCAGCTTCCTGCTAATTCAGGCCGTGGAGGCAGCCGTGAGGGCTCAAACCACTGGTTTCCTGACGCCCGTGCGGGAGACCTGAGCTGAGTCCCCAGCTCCTAGCTTCAGCCCGGCCCAGCCCTGGCCATGGTGGGTATCTGGGGAGTTGGTCAGCAGACAGGAGCCCACTGGTTTTCTCTTTGTGTCTCTCCCTCTCTCTGCCTATCAAATAAACAAAAGCAAAATATAGAGAGCTGAGGATTCCCCAAACTAATGTCGGACACCAACCCCAGATTCAGGAAGGTTAGGGAACATGAAGCAGGATAAATAACAAAAACAAAAACCCCATAGCTGAATATGCCATTTTTAAACTTAGAAAATCAATTGAAGAAAAAACACCTTTAAAGAAGCCAGAGGAAAATTAAAAAAAAACTTAACTATACATCAAAGATATAAATTGCTTTCTAGTTCTGAGAAATCATCCAATCAAGAAGAAAGCAGAGTAAAATAAAGTGTGGACGGAACTGAATTGAGTTCCAGCCTCTTGGCTTTTGCTTGGCCCAGACCCAGCTGTAACATGCATT